ACCCATCATCTCACGGATCACCTGTGTGTCTGCCTTAGTATTTGGCGCCCTCAAGTGTCCACAGAAAATCTAATTATTCACTGAACTTGACCTTCATAACATGTTGATGAAATAAATGTGGGTGTTTTAATTTGACATGTTTGATGTTTAAATATGGAACAGCTGTCATAGCTGAGAAGAAACAGTTTTGGGTTCATCAGATTAAGTCAAGCTACGGTTTAGATATCATTAGACACAATTATATCAGTATTGTTATTTTTGGTGGTTTCCCATACATAATTTAATACATAACTTAACAGCTTATTATAATATGTGAATTTGAATAGTGTTCAGTATGGTGTGAGCTGATAATGGCTGGCCATACTACCTGTTTCTCATTTTATTCATTAATCATTTGACCATTTTTGAAGAAATACTGTCTCAGGCCGAACTTTCTGATAGCGCTCAAAGTTGGTGGGTATATAACAAGATATTGAAATATCATTTAGTTAACTGTTGCAGTGGTTCCCAGCCTGACATTTCCCCACAGCCTTCATCGACACCAGTGGTCATGCTCCATATGTGTCCTTTGAATTGATTATTTAAAACTATAAGTTATATATAAGTAGATGTCACTATAGGTTTTTCACACAATGGCATTGTGCAATTGCCAATGATTAGGCTTGGCAGGCTGCAAATTACAGTGACAACTGTAACTTTTTTTTCCAGGTCCAAAAGAGGAAACCCTAGAGCGCAGGCACGGACTTCAGTGAACTAAAATCTTACAATGCTTACAATATCCTTGCTTATTTAACTAATGTCATCAGTCTGTAGATTATGATAAATCAAATTCATTACACCAGCTCATGGGTGCCCTATACCACAAGACAACATTTGTAGATAGTGGTCACCAAGTATTATAGAGCAAAACTGCATGAAAGTCAGACACACAACTGCAGACCATCATGACCGCTCAAAACAACCCACAATGTTGATACAGACTAGAGACACATAAATACAGTCTGCATTATTATCTCTAATTCCTTTTATCATTCTCATCAAGTTTAAAGTTTCAACTTACTCTTTTTTTTTTTAGCAAATAACTCCTTTCCTCTTGCTCATGTTGACTGTGAATGATGTAATCTGCATCCAATAAAGCAGTAGTCAGGCACAAACACCGTTGTTGGGACATTGGGAATTTTTGGGAATTCCAGAGTTAAAACAAATACCATGTTTATTGTGAAACGGCTCACTAAAGATTCATATGAAATAATAAACTCTATAGGCCTATTGATGTAAAAATGTATCTCTACAATAACTAATCTCCAATTTCACTGCTCATGCCTAAACACCAGTGTTAGCTGACAATTACATAAAATATGAAATTACATAGTTATAATGAAATGATAGGGTGGGCTCTCAGCTAGCTAACATCAGCTCATTTTAAGTAAATAAATGCTAATTACGAATCTCTGAAGGTAGGAAAGTTAAGTGTATTAAAGCCTAGATAGTTAACTACTGACATTAACCTGCTGCGTCTCCATTAGAGTGTGATGCACAGGAGCAGCTGGGCTGCGTGATGCAGACAGACAAGACTTTCACTAACGACAATGTTAGGAAATGGTACGGTCCGTTTTAGGGGTGTCTGAAATCGTATTTCAAGATTCTTGAATATAAGGCATGATATGGGAAATATGTTGTAATATTTACAAAAACAGATAAGAAAGACCCCCTGAATTGTTGGTTTTTCCTCTTTTGGGCGAGTCCAACCTTAACTAGGGGGGTCAGACCCCCCCAATCCCCCGTAATTCGAACCAGGAGGCTTGGTCTCTTTTATCAGTTGTTTTTTTGTCAAGTTTGTATTTGTTAAACTTATTTAACAATTATTTTTAGCTATCCATTTTAACATCCCCGCGTACTTTCTGACTAGTTTTCATTCACTCTCCAAACCCCTGCCAAATGCTTCTATTGTGTCGAGATCTGGCTTTAAATAATGCCAACACATCAGGGTTTAGCATAGATTTAGTGGCTTAAAATAAACCCAAAATGTTTACTGTTGAGATGAGATGAAAATTGTTCGGTGATCAGACCTACAACAATTTGAAGGAACTATTAAAGGCAACCTAAACGGGAATAATAATTCATTATTAATTAAACTCCTTGGGCACTCAACGCACCTGCATGGTCACGTGACAAAGAAACCCGACTGCACGTTCGTGTTTGAGAGGAAGGAAAGCGTTTTGATCAAGACATTGAAGATGGACAGTGGGGGAAACCCCAGCGCGGCAATTTGCAGGTCGTGTGGAGAGGCGTTCATTTTGCCTGGTAAGATAGTTACATCTCCTTTCTTACAGTTTAATGCTCCAGTTATACCGTGTTTTATGGTAAATTGAGTTATCGTTAGCTAAAAGAAGTCGTCTGCTAGCTAGCAAGCAGGTGGCCGTAGCTAGCTAATGTAACAGGCAGGTGTGCTGACAGATCTTTGAACGTAATAAAATTGGTATAATTATCTATACACACACTTAAACATGTTAAAACATCTAATCATATAATCCACTGATTTTGAAATAACTTTGACTTTATATGCTGTTTTATTCTCCCAGGGTGTGGTAATTAGCATTAGCTTACCTAAATGGAGTGTGCTGAACCGAAGAGCCTGCAAATGTCGCGCCATCTCGACATAAGATATGTTTCGCTATTAAATATTTTAGTTGACCAAATAAAGTGCAACTTTGGTGTTCACTCAGTCTAATATGTCAACTTAGCAGAACTAGGTAGAGAAGTCCCTCAAAAATTTGAGTAACTGTCAGACAGATCATTAACATCAACTCCACCGCCAGGTCCTGCTTTGCTGAACTTTTCAAGTGGCTATTAGTATTAATATATATATATTTCATGTCTAGTGATTTGTAAAGTTTTCTGTCAGCCCAACAAATTATAGCAATATACATAGGCCTACATCTAAAAACAAGGCTGAACAAAGATAGGTAAAACTAACCTAAACTCTAAACACATACTGACATCATTGCTACAGTGCAGCCCTAATAATAACTGACATCTTGCTTTTAACTAATGGGTCCAACCTTCAGTGAAATATATATATTTTAATTATTCATAATTAAAACATCAAACTTTGTATTAACTTATGAACAAATTAGAACACAAGGAGTTGCTGTAGTAATTACAAATTATGCAACATGTGATTCATTTATGAAATAAAACACAGTTTGGTGAAGACACTTAAAGTCAAACAGTATTAATAATTAACAATTAGTTTGAAAATTAATAAACCTTATATTTGTGTACCACCTTTGACAGAATAGCAGCAAAATTAATTTTACATTATTTTAAATCATTTTCATTTAACAGTTGATGTAGAGCGGATGACAGCATCAACCCCCCTCATTTGTGCAGGAATCCTTAATGTTGGATTGCACTTTGCTTTTCTATTAAATGGGTAGAAGCAGTGGTCGTTCACTCTAACAGAAATGTGCATGATATCCCGAACTTGTCTTGTTTTCTTTTTCAGATGACGTTGAAGGCAATCTCCCTCGTGTGCTTTTATGTGGCCATATCTTCTGCACATCCTGTCTGCTGTCCATTCAGTATGACAGTGCGATTAAATGTCCAGAGTGTGAGGTAAAATTACCTACTTACTGTTGCAACTAGAGCATAGCATAACTCAAGTACTGAAGAAAGTAAATGTACGGTCAGGGTTCATTCATTTCCTGTTTCTCATAATTTGGGCAAAATTAGTCACACAGAGCTATCTTGTGAATTCTGGTCCTGTTTGCCTAATAATTTGGCTATTGTAACTAGATGATATTCATCATAAATTATTGGATGATCCATAAATTTATAGATGAGAAATTGTCAGATGAAGCATATAAATTTAACATTTTCACTGCACAACTAATCATGGCCCAGTGGTCAATTTTGTCCACAATGTAAGTGTTAAACTCACAGAACTTTAGAAGCAGCCTCTTGCAGCATGGCATTTTATCCAATTTTGTGATTGCAGTAATACCGGAAACAGTGTGGCAAGACATTCAACATGCCACATGGGCTGTGGTACAGTTATAAGGCTGCTGAAGCATTTCCTAATGCTTTAACCTATCCTGGTGTGCGATACCTTGGTTGGTAACCAGCCAGCCATTTGTTTAATCCGTCTGTTGAATTTGCATCAAGTTCAAGTAGTAGGATGACAAAACAATGATTAAAAATACAAAGCTCACTCTCTGCAGGTTGAGTCAGCCCTTCCTGAAGGTGGGGTGTATGGACTGCAGGAAGATAGCAGAATCATTGGCCTCATCTACACTGCTAAAATGAACAGGATGAAAAGGTAAAATGTCGTTCTGCACCACACTACTGACATACGTGAAGGCCTATCACAATAATTGGAACACAGTGTTTCCCCTGCCATTGTCGAAAACAACCTTGCTCTCCCTGAAAGAATGACAGAAATATATAATTAAGCTATTTTCCAAAAAAAGGGACGCGCGAGATCTAGCCCTTAACACACAGGGAATTTGTTTCTCACTCGTCACCTCAGAAGTTCAATTTATTTGAACTTTAGTCATGCAACGTTGTTCTGATGTCTACCGGAACTGCTTCTGACCTCTGTCAGTGTTTCAGTGTGGCCGGGCTGCGTTGTGGCTTTTCCACACTGACACCACACACTGTCATATCAAATGTCATAGTCAAACCACATCGGCAGATCCAAGACGCCAGCCCAGCTTATAGATTTCCTGGCTGTGGGGGCGGAGTCAGATTATCCGTGAAAAAAATAAAACGTGTAAAACGCGCTTGGTCAAGCTTTGTAAACAAGGATGGCCCTGCCCACGTGAGAGTAGCGTCGTCAGACCCACTTATACCCTGTGTTCAGCAGCATGTGGAGGCTATCAAGCAATAAACTATTTGATAGAGGACAATTCACAATACATATACTGCAACAACGAATTCATTCTGAATTGTACCATTTGAAATAGTATTATAATAGTAATATAATAGCGTATGTATCAGAATCAGAAATACTTTATTGATCCCCGAGAGGAAATTCTTTTGTCACAATTGCACACTTGTCAAAGGTAGATAGATAAAGGGTATATAAATATAATAGTATAAATATAGAAAAAAAAAGACAAATATAAAGGTGTGTGGGGATGTACAATATTTACATTATTAAGAATTATTATGGTGAACCAAAAAGGACTAGTGAATAAATAGCAGCAGAGAATATTGCACATTAATATTAAACAGGTCATATTGGACAGAAATAGATAGTGTCAGACACTTAAAGGGAGGAGTTAAAAAGTTTGATGGCCACAGGCAGGAATGACTTCCTGTGGCGCTCTGTGATGCATTTTGGGGGAATGAGTCTTGCACTGAAAGTGCTCCTGTGTTTGAGCAGCACGTCATGGAGTGGGTAGGACATTGTCCAAGATGACATGTAGGTTTGACAGCATCCTCCTCTCTGACACCACCGACAGAGTCCAGCTCCACCCCCACAAACGTCACTGGCCAGATCAGTTTGTTGAGTATGTTAGCGTCCGCTACCCTCAACCTGCTGGCCCAGCATGCAACAGCAAACATGATAGCACTGGCCACCACAGATTCATAAAACATCCTCAGCATCGTCCTGCAAGTGTTGAAGGACCTTAGCCTCCTCAGAAAATAGAGACGGCTTTGGCCCTTCCTGTAGAGGGGCTTGGCCCAGTCCAGTTTATTGTCCATGTGGACTCCCAGGTATTTGTACTTGTGAACTGTCCCCATAAATAATTACACATGCATTTGAATAGGCCACTCTATAGTGAATAAAATTTCAACATTTCAATAAGAAAATATTGAATTGTTGAAATTTTATTCACCACCACATGATTATACACTTTCTGATGACAAAAGTTGTTTAAATTGTAAAACACAGAATTCAGAAAGATTTTAAAAGAGAACACGGTATGTAGCAAAAATTAAAAAGAATCTTGCAAATATTTTGCAGTTTTTTTCAATTGCTCTGTGAAAGGGTGTACTTGAATTACTCTGGCTATTATGTTATCATTATATAAGTGTCTTAAATTGACTAATTTTGATTATTGTAATTATTTCATCCAACAAAAGTAGTTATTGTGACAGGCCTACATACATGCAGTTTAACAATTCTTTTGAACAACATGTGTAGGGATGGTGATCGTTTATTTTTATTGATATTTAAACCTTTATTGAGACTGCTTAATGATCCGATTCTGATATCGATACCACTATCGATACTTAACTATTATTTGGTGATGGTTATTTGGTAAGACCAGCCCCAACGGGCATGAGGTAGGCCTGCGCGATATGAGGAAAATATTCAATATGTAATAACATTGTTATATATTGAAATGAAATATGACTTGTGATAAATAAATGTATTTTCAAGTGTGCATATTAGCTGCCTGGTTGTTTTTAAATTATTTATAGGATTAGAATTTAATATTTTAAATAAACCTAAATGTTGTTTCTAGAGCAGCAACATTAATGTTTACAACAGCAAAGTCACTATATATAAACTCAATATCGGACATCACAAAAAGAATAAAAAATTCAGTCTGTGTCAGACCTTCCTCCTCCTCCTGCTGTTATTCACTGCCTGCAGGTAACGTTACCTGGTAAGTGAGTTTACAACAAGTGTAGCTGTCATCAACTCGAGTAGTTTGGAGCTAACTTAACCCTCACCGTCTCCACCGTGACGGTGCGGCGTCTCTCTCTGATGGCAGCTGTGTATGTAGGAGCCAACAGAGAGCAGCAGAGGCTGTAGCCTGATGATAAACAGCCCCGGGACCGTTTAATACCGCATTTCGGTGCCATCATTAGAAACATTAGTTTTCTTATCCATCACGTTTCAAGATAAATCAGATTTGACGCTCAAGACAGAACGGTACAGACCCACTAGCCTCGATAGCAGTATCAAAAAAGCTTGGATGTTATTGATTTTTGGGATTTGAGCAATGTTGGAACCGGATCCTTTTAGAACCAGGTCTTGATCCCCATCCCTAAACATGTCTTTCTTGTATAATCCAGTTGTTGTCATACATTTTTAAAAGAGAATTGGACATTACTGTGATAACCGCTTTCGTCTCCTGAAGTCTCCGATGTGACAGGTCAAAGAATCGCAGAAGGAACAAATCACCGTCCACAGACATTACAGCCAAAAACGAGGATATGGAGCAGGTATGGGGGGGGGAGGGGGTGTAGTGGCTAAAGAGTTACAGTAAACATACATTATTCAGATTAAAAAGATTAAAATTCTGGTTATGTTTTATTCAGCCAGTTGATATTGAGAAGATTGAGAGGGCGGTGGATGAGGCGTTGGTCCATGCTGCAAAAAATCTTACCCTTCTGGAACACATACATGAGGTAAAAGCTGCACTGGATCCAAAAAACTGCAAACACCTTGCAGAACAAAATTGTCGACATTATGTATTTCCTAAAAGGAAATCATCACTTAAAAAAAATCAGAAAATTTAAAACTTTTTTTGGGTGAGTTTGATGCTGGAGTGTTCTGTGTTTGTCTCATCTGTGCAGACTTTGACGACTGGTCTGGCAGAACAGGTGAAGAGAGAGCAAGCTCGACTGGAGCTAGAGATCAAGCAAGCTGTAGAGAAGGCTGCGCATGCTATTCAAAAGTGGTATGGGCATAAACTGCCAAAAATGTAGTTAAAATAGTAAAGGCTGTATAATAAGATCCCATGTTCTTTTATTGAAACCAATGATTGAACACTGGTCTTTTTCTTTTCAGATTGTTTTGTTCTTCTGAAAATCAAACGGGCCAGTATCAGTCTAGTAATAATGTTTTCCGGAGATTGTTTGTAAAGCGACATTAATCTGAATATTCTGTAAATTTTTTTGTCAATAGGAAGGATGTGCAGTTAAGTCAGCTGACAAAACTGGAGGCACGATTCTCCTCCAGCCAAGCGGAGGTGAGCTCTATCCAGGAGAGGATTAAGGCCCTTGAAATTGCCATGCAGATGGCCAGAGAAGTTCGCCGTGTCCCCTTCCTGGAGCAGTACTGCACCCTGGATAATGTATGTAACCGATACTTACTAGTGAGTACCTAATGCACGGTCAGATAAAATAAAACTGAGGACATTCTGCTGAACTCTGGCTATTTTCCAACAATTTACACCTTGAAAGTATACAGTCAGGCAAAATGGTTAAAAATACAGTGGCTGGTGTATTTTGCTGCGTGTTTGTGTGTGGGTGACAGGTTCTAGAGACGTTGCAGGCTCCTGTGGATAACCAGTCCTTCGATATGAAATGCATTACTATGGGCTCTGGAATGAGGTTTGTGACTTTAAGCCTCAAGTTTGTTTGCGGTGTTTGTTAGATAGCTATATAGTTTTTGTTTCTCTGTCGGCTACTGTAGCAGGTAACAACTTGTGTTTTAAATTTCAACAAATCTGCCAAAATAGAAACATTTGAAATATTCATGTACTGAACCACTGTTCATTTTCCCTTCCCTGTATTATTGTGCTGTAATTGTATGAAGCATGGGAACCTCACAAACATTAGTGATGGGCTTTGACTTACACTATTGATTTTGAATTTGGGGTATGCATGTTTGTATTGTAGCTGTGTTTACCAGTCAGAAGGTCTGAACCAGAGTCTGTCATTGTCTCTGAAGATGGAAGTCGGTGTCCCAAAGCAGTGAGTCCCTAAATATATTCCAATATGTCATGTGGATTTATTAGTTGAAATTGCAAAAAGCCTCTTCATTCTTTAATGTTTCTGTATCTGTCTTTACCATAGTAAACAGGCATGGCCATGAGGAGAGTTTAGCTCATTTGTGCTACTTGTTTTGTACCATATCTGCTACTATTAGGTTTAAGTAGGGCTGCATTATCATTATCCAAGCTCACACCGGGGCTCTCGCATATGCCTCTAAAACAGATAAGCCTACGTGCAATCAGTGTCACTTTTCATCAACCAAACAATCACAGCCTGGATGGGGCGGGACATTAAAAAAAAGTTTGACGTGCTACAGCAAACTTTACAATGTTGAACAATATGAATATTAACAAATTAGAGACTGATGTAGAGCCTTTTTCTTGCAAGGATTTAATGAATAAAAACAACCCACAGAAATGAAACAGCTGTAACTGGATTTAATATTCAAATATACTATACAAACAGTATACTGTTAACTGAACATTATACTCTTTATTTAATGTTATAATATTATACTAATACACTCATACTAGTTCCTCCTCCAGGTTGTGGATAGTGTCTCTGCAGTGGACAGTTGTATATTGAGCCGATGCCAGTGTGGCAATATTTGCTGCCTCTAGCCGCCTCCGTAGAACAACACGCTCCCCTTGTTCTGTTTTACATAATTTTTACTAGTTATTGTTATAAACATTGTTTAACTTTGTTCAAGTTGAGAAATGCACATTTTAAAATGTCAGAATCTTGTGCATTTTCCTTGATATTGTACCATTTGTTCAATTATAAACGAGTCACAAATCGCAATATTGTCCACAATAATCGCAATATGACCTTTTCTCCAAATCGTGCAGCCCTAGGTTTAAGTATATTTTAAGTTGATTATGTTATGTCAAAACATTGATGAGCAGGAAAATACTACACCCAATACACGTAGTACACTCCCCTGTAATTGCTTCAAATCTTGAAATTTTGCATCTGCTGCCCATTGTGTTAAGTTACATACATACAATTTATTTAATTGGATTACATTTTTCTTGTTTATATGGCTCTCAACTCATGTGGCATTTGTGTTTTAAAACCAAGTGCTCGCTCTGTTCCCTATTAGATTGTCAGAATCTCCACCCAAAGGCCACCAGCTGGGCAACTCAAACATAAAGTCTTTCTGGGAAGATGTAGAGGGAAGCAACAGCAACGAGCTCCCGACGCCACAAAAACAGGGCCGGGAAATCCCGGGAGCTAACAGGTCATCGTTGCAAGGCTCCTCTCCAAGCCCAAGACCTCGTCGCAACCTTTCTCGCCACAGCTCGGCCTCAGACCTCGGAACTCAAGATGTAATTATTGAGGAACTATTTGATGAGGGACAGAAGCACCGTGAGTGTGTTGCTTTGATTTCAATTAGATAATGTCAGATCCGGTCAGAACATGAAATTGCTTATGAAGGAGGCAGAAGAGAAGCCTAAATCTGTTTTTGTGATATGCTTTGTATCCTTCTGCAGCTCCCCCACCCACGGGCCCTGAGCTGGCTAACGACAAGTCGAGAATCCACACGAAAAGGAAAAATATCTTGTCTGCCAATAAGAGAAATGGTAGTTGTATAGTTATAAGACTTTTTGAAGATAAAACATAATTGATTAATCGCATGTAGGCAGATACAATGTCTATGAAATCTTCAAAATGTGTTGTCACAGGTAAATAACAATACAGTCTTCAAGACTGGTAGATAATATGCAGTACATATAACCAACTGATCTGTGTAGCAAATTTTGTGCCATTTTCAACTTCAAATCTTCTCTCATGACGTTTTGTGACACTGTTAATTTTGACAACTGAACCGATTTAATCTTTCTTGTCCATTTCTAATATAAAAAAGTCAGTGGACACCTTCAACTAGTAGGAAATTTAATTTATCCATGGCGGCAAAATGAACAGAAAACACTTACACACACTATAGACAGATGGGTGGAAAATTGATGGCCCAGCTACTGTACAGCCAGGCAATGAACAACCCATAATACAACACTTCATGGTCACTTTGTAACCCTCCATTCTCTATCCTCTCCATCTCTGAAAACTACTATCTCATTGTCCTTATTTTCCTCTTCATCATCTCTCTCTTCCTCTTCTCCTGCCTTCTACCCTTCTTCTCTTTGTCTGTCATCCATCCGTTTTCCTATTTTCTCATCCTCTTTCTCTCACACCTCTCATCCCTTAATTTCTGCTGCCCCTACTACCTTCCTTCTCCTTGCTTCTCTCTCCTAGTCCCCCAGTGGGTGGTGGTAACCCACATTGTGAATCCAAGTCACTTCTACATCCGCTATGTGGCCGAGAAGAGGGCAAGCGAGATGTTGTCTAAGAAGATCAACTCCTTCTGCTCCAGAGATAGCTGTCGTTTTACTTCCAGTGACACAATGGAGACCGGTGTGTGTGTGTGTGTGTGTGTGTGTTGTAGTTTTTTACTTTCAGTTTAAGTGTATTCTGCATAGCAATGAAAGTTAATGTTATTGTTGAATGTAATGGTTAAAGTGTTCACCAAATTGATGTTTAGCAAATTAGCCAAAAGTTGATCAGGTTCATTAGGGCTGCGCCTGCCAATGAATTCATTAGTTGGTCAGTGTGCTCTTAATTGAATACGAATTCCATTGTAATATTGAGAATGCATCGCACAATCACTCATCCTCTCAGAGTGGTGTGAAACATATTTGCCATGTGATTCAGCCATCGTTTTTTTGCTCCTCTCCAGGCTCCATGATCTTTGTTACGTGGAAAGACGGTCTTTGGTGCCGGGCCCGTGTGGTTCAAGTCTTGCAGAAAGGATATGTGGAGGCTGTGCAAACCTGCCTAGTCACCCAGCTGGCCAATTTACGTGTCTTCTTGCTTGACTATGGCTTCACCAAAAGCCTCACCATAGAGAGGTATACACACACAAATGTGCAGAAGGCATACATATCAGTGTCTCCCACAGGTTTAAAATGGAGCCTTGCTGCTGAGCCAAGGACAGAAGCAAATTCATAGTGATAAATTTGACCTCTCCCCTTAGGAAAAACTAGGTGGTCCCAGAAACAAAATGCTACCTAGCACTGCAATCCATACTGCTACATCTGCCATCACTGCCTACTTCCCAGAAACAGCAGTTAACAATTGTTTTTGCGCTTCCTCTGTTATCCATGCACAGGTCTACTTGTGTTTTAAACATCTAGACCTGAATGGATGTATCTGTTTTAACTGTCTGTACCGAGTAACTAATCGTATCATGTTATTAGAATATTTCAGCAAAGTATTTCAGCATGGACCCAGTTTGAAGAAGTTATTCCACCAGTGTATTTTGGCTGGGTTTGTTGTTGATGCTTATTTCATCTGATGAGTTGCACATAACACATACAGGGTTTGTATGGTCATGAAAAACCTGAAAAAGTTATGGAATTTGAAAATGGCCTGTAGAAGTTTTGGACAAATAAACGAATATTGAATATTTTGGAAAAGTCCTGGGAATTTGCTTTACAAATACCTGTATAATAGAGTATATGTGGTTCAATTAAGATCGACTGAGAAAAATCTATATTGTTTGGGCAGATCAGTCACATCATCATTTTATGGATGTAGCACGGCCATTCTTAGGTTTTGCGAGCACCGGTGGATTGAGAATGTCAGTGTGTCAGAACATCGAGATGGTAGGGCAAGGTGAACTACCAAATCCAAAAGTGAAGTCATTTGAGGAGGTGAAGATCCGTTGTGCTGATCCTCTTTTTACATTGAGAGTGGGGATAATTAACAGCATTGCCAGAGAAATCAACCCCTTCCTTACCATGTATCAAGCGGACCAACCAATACTGCCCTTCTTCTCTGAGGACTTGCACAAACTGATTAAAGGTAAGGATAAACATATTTATGATGGAATTGCTAATTGTAGTCATTAGAAACACACAAATAAATCAAGTGTGGCTATTTCCTTTTTTTCCCATTTTATGGTTCCAGATTCAGAGCAAAATGTGAAAGTATAACAGGTTAATGAAACATCATAAAGCTACCATTGATGATGGTGCATTGCTGTCTGTCACGTATATAGTTTTTGTTTTCATTTTTACATAATTTCTGTAAGAGCAATTAGTAACGGGCAGGCATAAAGAGTGAATGGAATCTTACATAACGCATGTATTTATCTTTAAATGACTAAAATAAAATGGATGATTATTTAATGCACATAATAGAATCAGCATACATCACTGTAGTTTGTATGACCTAAACTATGAATGTGTAATATTCACTCATTTGGTGTGTTTAACTAAAAGACACACTTGTAAATTTATAAATTAAGGGTGATCAAACTTACTTTTTAATTGTTTACAGGGGTCATGAGATGATGTCTGAAAAGAAAGCATCTGCTGAAAGAGGCCACATCCACACTGAAGCTCCTCCATGTACTTTTTCAGGACAGCAGTCCGCACAAGGATATTTTTCAGACTGATATTGTATTTGCAGCCGAAGCCACCCTCAGCTGAATGCAAAACACTTCAGAGACTAGAGATTAAGATGGACTACAAGAAACTCTTGATCACACTCCTTGAGAAGTTGCTAAAAAAAAAAGGCTCCAGTGCATGACATTAGTGTGAAGCATGCAGTGGCTCAACCCAAGATGCATGGTTCAATCTAAGGAGCTATCCGTAAGTCAAATGAAAACAACGTTGAACGTACTTGTTAATGCTAAACACAGTTAAGACAATGTGTGATGATACCCTCAGGGAGTTTAGTGCTTTGGCTGCTCTTTAAATTTGGGGAATATGACCACAAAACAGATCGAGTAGACACCTTGCTTTATGAAACAATTGGAACAGATCATTATTTTCCAGTGTGATGGATGGATGTGGTGAAGATTCTGCTTGTTTTGTCTCATGGCCAAACCGGTGTGTCGAAAGGATTTTCCATTTACAAAGAATTGATTGAGGAGAATCAGAAAGAGAGGTCTGTGGTGGGCAAGAGGCTCACTGTCCTTGTCTATTCTGTTGGGCGCATAACCATGGTACATATCACAAAAGATCTGCTTCTTTCAGCTGTGGGAGCCAAGCTTAAGCACTACTTGGATGAAGAAAAGAGAAAGAAATAACAGCAATCTCTTAATCAGCAATCTCTCAACTTAAAGAGGAAGGCCCTCACAGATGAGCTAGATTTGAAAAGAAGAGGGCTAGGATAGGAGGCTTATATATGTGCCCTTGAGAATTCTGCAGATGAATACACTGAAAAGGAAAGAAGCTACAAGCAAACTGACCTTCATCACCAAATCTAACAGTTTCTGCCGAACTGCAAAAGAAAAGAAATCTCTGCTGATGAAAGGCATATTGACGAGGAGCTTGCAGAAATGAAAAGTGAACTGTGTGGATTGTTTTTGTGGCATTCAAACACAGGGAAGGTTATCTTCTGTTAAGGCCCAGTTATGTTAATGGTAAATAGGAGGCAGAATTGGTTTCTATAAGAATCTTGTATTCCAAAAGACTGGACACTTTTTTTGTTTATTTTTCATTTCGTTATTTGTTGTTATTGTATACCGTTTCCTCTTAGTCATTTATGATAATTAAGGCTAAACATGGAGTCTTTAGGGTTTGCCACATTTTTTTTTTCTGTTAACATCTTACTGGTCAGGGTTTTCCCTGCATAAAGAAATTTTTGCCACTTCACTTGTTGCCTGTAGTACCCTCCCCTGTAGTTGATGTTGCCCCAGTCACAGTCTCCGCAGGGAGATTGGGATTGTGTGCCTTTCTTGCGGTCATGTGAATAGTTGCTTGTCAAAGTCACTTTTAGGGGACCAATCACAGCCTGGAGTAGGCGGGACAATAAAAAAGGTTGAGGCACTACAGCAAACTTTAGAAACGTTGAACTCATTCTTTATGCATGGTTTTTATCATTGACAATTGTACTTTGCATAAACAAGAGATTAAAACAACCCACAAAAATGGAAATGCTGTTTTGTCCAATTGGAATTAATATTAGGCTTCTAGTGGTAAGCTGTATAGTAGCCTGTACTATTATCTGAAATTATCATGAACAAACTTAACATTAGCCCTAATCAAACCTTAACCACAGTGGTGTAGGCTAATATTAGAAAATGGTTTTATGAGTGAAACAGCTCAATTAATAAACTTATCTACAGGCAGATTATTCAAATAAAGTGTAACCTGTAAATATATTATCATACTAACATTATAATTTCTGTAATATTTATTAATACTTTAATACTAATACTTTTACTCCTCCAGGTTGTGGATATATTTTGTTTATGAAATGGTCTGAAATAATAAGAAAATGCATAGATTTAGGTCATAAGGTAACGCATTGCCTTTACTGTATGTGTACAGATCATGATTACTGTCGTGCGAGGTCACCCCCCCCCCCCCCCCCCCCCCCCCCCAAGGCCTGTTCTGAGCCAGTAAACACACTGCTGGTATGTCAGCATCACTCAAATGAATGTTTTGGTTTCAAACCACATAGCTTGTCATTCATTTTAGGATAAAATGTGGTAAATTTTGACATGGATTTTATTATTTTTCATCTGTACCTGACATTGCAGAGAATGTACAGTTGTTAAAATTGACCTCAAAGGCATGGAAAAGTCATGGAAATGTATTGGTAAAAATGAAAGTCTTTTCTTTATGTTTTGTAATAAAGGTTAATGTGAATTTACAAATGCCAGAATTTTGTTTTTAATGCATTTTGGAAAATATCTCAATTCTGAAACTAAGGTTTGAAGTATGTACAGCATAAATGCTTAACAGACCCATTTTGAATGTCTTGATTGTGAAGTATTTCTTTTAGTTATTCAGTTGAATGCTGTACATTGTTGTTCTATGATATCCTCTTCTCTGACCCCTTTTACAGTGAGGAAGGGACTACTGAGTCTTTACTGAAGGCTGTGAACAACCACCTGAGGAAGGTGGGTGAGGCAGTGAAAGTGGAACTGGGTCGTTTTGTTCCACAGGCCATCAGATGTTCACTCAAGGACCTGGTCCCGTATGACCTGGTAAGACCACTAAGATTTAAACAGATACAGTATTTGTTATGTTGATGACATTGATGTTGATACCGGGAGACAGAAAAGACCAGTGTGAGCTTGTTTACCTCACCAACCACAGCAATACTGTAAAGGTTGCACAGAAAGGAAAACAATTATATCATAGCCAACCAATGTCCACCTTCCTCTAGCAACAGTAGAACTGGTGTTGTAGATAAACAGAAATAAGACTGAGAAAGGCGGAAGGTACCTACAGTACTTTTTTTTTTTTTTTTTTAACCTTTATTAGCCAGGTTTGTCCCATTAAGAACATCGGGTCAAATCCGCTAGGATTTTGTTCAGCAGCGGGGGCAGGCCAAATCCCTAGTTTTTAAATTCAAGGATAAGATGTGAATATTTTTAATATATGATAATGTTTCTAGAGCAGCATCATTAAAGTTTGCAACAGTAAAGTCACTGTGTAAACTGAAATGAAGAACTAAGACATCAGTCCGTACCAGTCCTTCCTCCTGTCCTCCACCTCCTTTCTCTGATTTTATTCTCTGTTTGCAGGTAACATTACCTGGTAGAGAGGAGGGCTGGTTTGTCTCATTTAGCAGCTATGTTTACAACAACCTGCCAAATTGTAAGCTAAGTGGCAAACAAAGCAAAACAGTTAGACTCAAGGCGGCTTTTAATTTAGCTTGTTTGCAATATTTGGCTAATCGCCAACCTAACGGGCTTGTGTAAAACAGAGAATGAGCGACGGTGGATAGAGCAGATTAAATGTAGGTAGAAAAAATGTGGAATTACTTCTTCATCACATGACATCTATTCAAATTCGGAAAGAGGCGGCAACAATTATTTTGTCAGCTTTTCCAAAAATGTACAAGATGATCAGAATGGAATTTCTTTTACAGTCAGGGTTAATGTGTCTACTTTTGTGGTTAATTTGTATTGTGAAATGTAATGTTTTTTGTTAATTTATGTTGTTTGCAAACAGCAGTAGTATTAGTAGGTGTGTTTACTTTGTGTGTGTCTTTTCAGACAAAGGGCTGGAGCAAAGAGGCACAGGTTGAGTTCCACAATGTGGTTGGTTCTGCAGCAGTGGAGATGCGGCCTTTGGGTCACGACAGAGACCTTTTATTGGTGGACCTGAGAAAAGCTCCCATGGACCAATCAAGTGATGTGCCCATCTCTGTCAGAGAGTACCTTGTTTTCATTGAAGTGGCCAGGTACGTATGTGCAAATTACCAGGAAAAATTCAAATAAGGAAATTACTTATTTGATGTCATTGAATATTGAATCAAGAGTCAAATCGTAGTGGCCTAACTTTGGCTGTTCTCCCCCATAAAAAAAGGTTTTATTCTCCTGTGACGTTGGGAACGAAGACCCTGCTGTTTTACCCTCCTGTCTATCCCAAGATCAACACAGAAGCCAATGCCGTGGTGTCCCACATCAACAACCCTGCTGACTTCTACATCCAGCTGGTGCTAATTATACACATAAATGAACACATATGCACTCTATTTCAGGGGTGTGATGAGATCTCGTGCCACAAGGTCAATATATACATCCAAAAACTGATGCATGAACGTCGTTTAGGGCTGTTGACCTTTTTAAATACTGACACAGAACACACAGGCAGGCAGGGTAATCAGGCATAGGTGAGACCCGTCAGGGCAGGCATCTCGTGAACCCAATATCGTGTCCTTCCTGTGAGCTAAGCGTCTTGTCACACCCCTACTCTGTAAATATCTGACATAACAAAAGCCATCTTTGCTCTATTGCAACTATCTTTTTTTTGGTCTATTTTTTTATTTCACTATCTTTTTACTTTGTTTGTCCCCTCCAAAACCAGGTTGATAACATGGAGTACTTGCTGCTCTCAGCCAAGCTTCAGGATTGTTACAATGAGAGTACAGTGGCTGCAGAAGATGACCTCTGTATCTACTGCCCTGTAATCGGACAGGCCTGTGTTGCCCGCTACGATGACAAGTATTGGTACAGAGCTCAGATTATAGGTAAGGGTGTGTTTAGTTTGAATAAATGTCTGCGGGTACTGCGTATAAGTGTAATCTCATAGTGATTCAACCTATATTCAGACATTGCGGCTGTTTTATAACTCTACTGGTGTTCCAGAGTGCCTCTCATGTCAAAAATCTGAGGTTTTCAAACTTCTGAATTGAATTTGCTCTATACGTTAACTATTTGTCTGCTGTGGATGACTTCTACTGCTACCCGGAATTTACCCGACATGGAGTACACTAAAGTAAGTGTGTGTGTGTGTGTGTGTGTGTGTGTGTGTGTGTGTGTGTGTAGGTCATCCAGGGGGCAGAAAAGTGGAAGTGCGTTATGTAGACTTTGGCAATAAAAACATCTTGTCAGTCAGCGACTTGAGGAAGATCAAGGATGAGTTCTTTGCCCTTCCTTCCAAGGTGAGAACAAAGCATTTGCTTGATCAACTGATTTTCTTATACTTTTGTGTAGGGTTGGGTACCAAAATCCCATGTCAATGTGGAACCGGTTCCACGGATGACTGGTATCTACCGGACCTAATTAGAATGCAAATTTCTGTAACTATTTTCCTTCTGGTGCGCCAAAGCGTCGTCACTATACTAAGAAAAGCCAATCAGATGATGCAGTACTCGCCAGACAGTTTTTCAACGGCAGGTAAGATAGTTTCACTACGCAGTCTGAGCAGTTTTCAGTGCTAGCTAGCACCAAAATCCTTATCAGACAGGAAGCGATTGATGCGGCCAGTTTATCATTTACAATGAGAGTTGAGCAACAATCAGACAAGTGTAGCAACAAACAGGAGATATCGTGAAGCTGTTGCTGTCCTGCTCATCTCACCACCCGCTACCAGAGTTTAATTGTCTTCACCCGCAGGCAGAGAGAGAGACGGATCCTTCAGTGTTAGTTTCCAGATGCAAAGAGAGGCGCCACCCAATCAGCTTATCCTTGTGTGCATGATGTTGCCTTGTTTAGGCTACTTTGCGACGACTCCCAGTCTGGTTTCACAGTCTCTTTGTACTGCTGTGTTACTTTCAGTAACTGTTCCACTTTGGTGTGGTTATTCACCGTCTTTAGCCAAATCTTCTGCAACTGCGGAATAGACCATCTGCTTCATGTTTACATCAGCTTGCGCATGCCCAGTGTATGTGAACAGCCACTATATGTGTGTTTTCAGTCGTTTTAATATAGACAGAGATCAACTCTGATATGCAGCTAAAACGCTGCTGTGGACGGAGAAGATCGTATTGTTATAAAACTGTTTAAAAAACTGTAGTAGTGTGGATGTAGCCTCACATTACCCCACTCCTCTCTCTACTTCTCTCATGTAAACCCTCCAGTTTTTCCGTTCTCACCCGGTATCCTCCCGTCAAATGTTTCCCTGTAAATCTTCCGTATTTTTAACCTTAATAAAATCAAATAAAAACCTGCTGGCTGTATTTAAAGTGTTTGCCACGCTCTCCTCTGTTAAAACCAGTGTATTAATATGTAAAGAT